CCTTAGCCTGAGCGATAGCTCCATTGTTGTCACACAACAACGGAATGGGTGATGTGCTGGATGGAACTACTCCCAATTCGTGGATGAACTTTTCATCCATATGGCTTCTTTGGCAGCTTCACTTGCGGCAATGTATTCGGCTTCGGTTGTGGAATCCGCCGTGGACCCCTATCGTGAAAATAGCACACGATCCTATCGTGAAAACATACTTAGATGTAAACTTTATATCATTTGGATCTGACTGAAAATCGGCATCAGTATACCCTTGGATCTGTAGTGAGCTACCATCRAATACGAAACAAAACTCTTTTGTCCTTCGAAGGTACTTAAGTATAATTTTCACAGTAGTCCAGTGCTCTTGCCCTGGGTTGGCCTGGAATCTTCTTACCACACTCAGTGCCTGAGCAATGTTAGGACGAGTGCACAACATGGCATACATAATGCTCCCTATGGCTGAGGCATAGGGAACGTCTTTCATGCCCTCAATCTCCTCGGAGTCTTAGGAGACATGCCCTTGGAGAGAGTGACTCCATGCCTAAAAGGAACATTTCCTTTCTTGGAATTCTCCATGTTGTATCTCTTGATTATCTTGTCAATATAAGTAGATTGGGATAATCCTATTATCCTCTTCGATCTATCTCTATAGAGTCGAAGACCCAGTATATAGGAGGCTTCTCCAAGATCTTTCATGGAGAATTGCTGTGAAAGCCATACTTTCACCGTAGTCAACATTCCTACGTCATTTCCAATGAGTAGAAAGTCGTCTACATACAAAACCAGAAACGAAATCTTATCACCATTGGATTTCCTGTAAACATAGGGCTCATCCGTGTTCTGCTCAAAGTCAAACTTTTTTACGGTAGAGTCAAATCAGATGTTCCAACTCCAAGAAGCTTGCTTAAGTCCATATATGGATGTATTTAATTTACATACCATGTGTTTGTTGTGGATGCATTCGTGGGAAAGGCTTACCGTCGCCGCCGGCAGCAGCAGTAAGGAGGGGCCCACACGATAGCTCATCAGGGTGCCCACGCTTATCTTGCCATGACAACTCTGCTTGCCAACTCGCCACCAACTTACATTATCCCTCATCCCATCTATCCTTATCTTATCTTATGTTCTTAGTAAGAGTTTTGTTACCACTAGAAGGAACCCCCTCTTGTAATCTCCTATTTAAGGAGTTGTGAATTGGAATAAAGCATTCAGTTTCCAGTTAAAAGAAGAGTGAGGAGATTTCGGGTGGTCTCTTGGACAAATCACCCATTCGGTTTTCCACAATAGGGTGTGCACGCAAGGGAAGGCGCAAGGGGAAGCAAGAGGTTCTCCCCGTGGACCGACCCGTGACGAGATCCTACGCCCGAACCCATAACATTATGGTATCAGAGCCTACCGTCATGGGGGAACAGGAGCCGCTGTCTTCCAGGGTCCACGAACTAGAACATAAGCTCGCAAAAACCAGCATGGAGGTTCGTGAAGTCGAGGATGATGTCCGGGAGCTGCGACGCCTACTGGAAGTATTTCTCTCCAACAAAGAAAGAAGTTCGGAGGGAACCGCCACCACAAACAGTCGTCGTCTGGACTGAGCAGAGACGTCCAGCGAATAGCAGATCGCTGCCCCGACAGCCGCAGTTATTCCCAAGTATAGCCGGCTGGAATTCCCATCTTACAATGGCACCGGAGACCCGTTAGGATGGCTGTACCGCTGTGAACAGTTCTTCCATAATCAACGCATTGATGACAAGGATAAAGTCAGTCTGGCCGCCTTCCACCTATCAAAAGAGGCGCAGCTCTGGTTCTACCAACTGGAGCAAGAAGAACTCGGTCTCAGCTGGGGACAGTTTAAATCATATTGTCTCCTCAGCTTTGGACCGCCGTTGACAAGCAACCCGCTGGGCAAGTTAATTAACCTCAAGCAAACTGGAACCGTGGCAGAGTACCAACGCCAATTCCAAAACCTTCTCGCCAGAGCAGCCTCAGTTCACGCAGATCAGCAAGTAGATATGTTTACAGCAAGGTTAGTAGAACCCCTAAGAGTGGACGTAGAGATGCAACATCCTCCTAACCTAGCCACAATGATGAACCTCGCGCCCGCCTTCGAACGGAAAATGCAGCTCTCCCACGGAAACCTCAGTATAGGACGGCCGGCAACAACCTGGGCACCTTCGAAGACAACAGGGGTGTCTCCTTCTTTGACAACCAACAAGGAGAAAAGGCCTCCTACCGGTAACCCCTCCAGATTAGCATCAAGTGCAGGAAGTAGCAGGACAACACCCTCCTTTAGACGGCTGTCCCGAGCCGAGATGGCAGAACGGCACGCAAGAGGGCAGTGCTTCAATTGCGATGATCTGTACTCCTCCGGTCACAGGTGCAAGAAGCTGTTCTATCTTCTGGTAGAAGAACCCGAAGAGGACGAAGAGGAACCTGCAGCATTAGAACCAGAGATCTCCCTCCACGCCATCACAGGGATCCAAACATCCCAAACCATGCAACTAAGGGTGCGGATAGCAGGACAACCAGTTCATATTCTCGTAGACTCCAGAAGCACCCACAACTTCGTCAATGAACAGGCAGCCCGTCGGTTAGAATTACCGATGGAAATCAAGCCGCAGTTATAGGTAGCCGTGGCCAACAGGGAAAGAGTTCACAGCCCCGGTATCTGCAAGGACACCGAAATTCAGGTCGGGTCAGAATCCTTCCAGGCTAATTTATTTGTACTCTCCTTGGATGAATTTGAAATCATCCTGGGAGTCAAATGGCTAATCACTCTAGGGCCCATCCTATGGGACTTCAGCGCCCTAACAATGACTTTCCACCTGGATGGGAAACTAGTTACATGGCAGGGAACTAGAATAAGAACAAAAACGCAGCTGCACACACTTCAAGGTGAGGACTCATGTGCAACAGATATGGAGAGGCTCCTCACGGATTTCTCTACAGTATTCAAGGAACCCAAGGAGCTCCCACCTTCCAGAGCCTGCGATCATCGGATCCCTCTGATAGCCGGATCGGATCCCGTCGTCATCCGACCCTACCGTTACCCACATCGACAGAAGGATGAAATAGAAAGGCAGTGCGTGGATATGTTACAACAGGGGATCATCCGTCCCAACCGCTCCCCCTTCTCCTCTCCAGTTCTGTTGGTACCCAAGCAAGATGGGACTTGGAGATTTTGCGTAGACTACAGAGAACTTAACAGTCGGACAGTCAAGGACAAATTTCAAATCCCCATTGTAGATGAGCTATTGGACAAACTCCATGGCGCACAATACTTCTCAAAACTAGACTTCCGATCGGGTTACTTCTAGGTCCGAATGACTCCCAAAGATGTAGAGAAAACGGCCTTCAGAACACATCATGGCCATTTCGAATTCCTAGTTATGCCATTCGGCCTCAACAACACTCCTTCCACGTTCCAGGCCCTGATGAATGAGGTATTTCACTCCCACCTCCGTAGATTCATCTTGGTGTTCTTTGACGACATCCTAGTCTATAGCAGATCGTGGGTAGAACACGTGCAGCATCTACGGATTGTTCTTGAACTCCTGCAACAACACCAGCTCTTCCTTAAGCGATCCAAATGCTCCTTTGGGGAACGCCGGGTCCTTTACTTAGGACATGTGATCAACGGGCAAGGGGTCACTGTGGATGACTCCAAGATTCAGGCGATCAAGGAATGGCCCAGACTGCAGTCCGCCAAGGCTCTCCGCGGGATCCTTGGGCTGACAGGATACTATCGCAAGTTCGTACAAAATTATGGACTTTTGGCGGCTTCACTAACCAATTTGCTCAAGAAAAATGCCTTCCTCTGGGATAGTACAGCCGATGCAGCCTTTGTGAGTTCAAGAGAGGCCCTCTCCTCCATGCCNCGCAAGTTCGTACAAAATTATGGACTTTTGGCGGCTTCACTAACCAATTTGCTCAAGAAAAATGCCTTCCTCTGGGATAGTACAGCCGATGCAGCCTTTGTGAGTTCAAGAGAGGCCCTCTCCTCCATGCCGGTTCTACAGTTGCCAAACTTTGTTCTCGAGTTCACTATGGAATGTGATGCATCCGGCACCGGCATCGGCGCCATACTACAGCAGCAAGGGCATCCAGTCACCTTCTTCATCCGCAAACTGGTCGACCACCACCTTAAGTTACCCGCCTATGAACGAGAACTGATTGGACTGGCAAAGGCAGTGCAGCACTGGAGGCCGTACTTGTGGGGCAGATTCTTCGTCATTAAGATGGACCACTACAGCCTCAAATATTTGTTGGAACAATGGCTTACCACCTCGCCACAACAGCATTGGGTCAGCAAACTTCTTGGGTTCGATTTTCGGGTGGACTACAAGGCGGGAACCTTGAACCGTGCCGCAGATGCCTTGTCTCGCCGAGAAGAAGACAACATGCTGCTCCATGCGATCTCACAGCCCCGAGTCACCCTGCTGGAAGACATTCGGAACATACTGCCGCCACAATCACCGGAGTGGAACGAGCTGGTGAAGAAAATACAAGCCGGAACGACCAGCCCAAACTGGTCCGTGCACGACGGGTTGGCACTATACAAAGGGCGGATTTATCTCCCATCCGACTGCCCTTTAATTCCCTCTGTCATCTCCAACATACACAACTCCACACATGAAGGTGTCCAGAAAACATTGCACCACATCCACGCGGACTTCCACTGTCTGGGTATGAAGGCTTCGGTGCGGGATTTCATTCGGAACTGCTCTATGTGCCAACAGCAAAAGTGGGAAAACTTGCACCCAGCAGGCCTTCTCCAGCCACTTGCACTCCCAACTCAGATCTGGGCAGATATTTCCATGGACTTCATTGAGGGCCTACCCAAGGTTGGAGGGAAGTCAGTCTTATTTGTAGTGGTGGACCGTTTTTCCAAATATGCGCATTTCATTCCCTTATCCCACCCTTACAGCGYAGTTTCAGTCGCCCACGCCTTCTTCACCAACATCTTCCGATTGCATGGGCTACCCGAATCCATCGTAAGTGATAGAGACCCGATCTTTACTTGCACTTTCTGGAAGGAGCTATTTCGTCTGCAGGGAACAGCTCTGGCCTTCTCCTCAGCCTACCATCCGCAGACTGACAGCCAAACGGAGGTGGTAAACCGAACAATAGAGATGTACCTCCGCTGTTTTGTGGGAGACCCAGCCCCGGCGTTTTTCCAAATATGCGCATTTCATTCCCTTATCCCACCCTTACAACGCAGTTTCAGTCACCCACGCCTTCTTCACCAACATCTTCCGATTGCATGGGCTACCCGAATCCATCGTAAGTGACAGAGACCCGATCTTTACTTGCACTTTCTGGAAGGAGCTATTTCGTCTGCAGGGAACAGCCCTGGCCTTCTCCTCAGCCTACCATCCGCAGACTGACAGCCAAACGGAGGTGGTAAACCGAACAATAGAGATGTACCTCC